AAAATAAATTATAGAAAAAAAAGAAGAAAAAAAACACAAAAAACACATCTTTAAAGTGTTACAAAGTAAAGATGTCCATTTTAAGACTAAGATGTGCCAGATCTAAGCCATGGCATTTTTAATTACTTCCTGTGGACCTGAAAGTTAGATTAGGAATAAGGAAGACTGAAGAAGAATTGATGCCTTTGAATGGTGGTGTTGATGAAGAGTATTGAATATTCTATGAACTGCCAAAAGAATAAACAAATCTGCTTTCTAGGAATTGCACAGGATTCTCTTTAGAGGCAGGGATGGTGAAACTTCACCTCACATACAGGGGGGCCATTCCTTGGAAAGAACATCCTTCTGGGAGAGACAGAGGATCAGAGAAATGGAAGAAGGCTTTCAAGATGATGGATGGATACAGAGACTGCAACAATGGTCTTGAGCCTGATGGAGACTGTGAGGATGGCGCCAAATAGGACAGGGCTCTGATCTGTTGTTTACAGGGTCACAATGAGTCATAACCTAACAACATCTAACAACCACAGATGCAAGGAAGACTTCAATTAAATTTTACAAACCACCCACTCATGTCAAAGATGAAGATACTGAAGACTTTTACCAGTTTCATAGTCTGAAGGGAACTCTTCTAGCATCATCTATAGCAGGCTGCATGGCCAACCCAAAGGTTGCAAGTCTCCAGTGGTTTGAGTTCCCCAGGAGCTCTGAGGAAGAAAGAGGAACCACCAAGTGGGTTGCTATGTGCCAGAACTGACCCAAAGGCAGTGAGTTGTTTGATTGTTTTCTATTTGTTTCTTTCAGACTGGAATTGACCAAACATGAGACCACAGTGCATTGACAACTTGATAATTACTGATGATTAGAGTGAGAAAATTGGAAGACGTGGCATTGCCATTAGAAACTATAATGATGATCTTAGGAGAGTTTTGCTAGGCCAATGAGATTCTTTGCTAATACCATTTTTTTAAAAACATAAACTCTGGCAATCCATGCAGATCTTATCAAGTTGGCTTCATCTGTGGGAAGAGATAAGAAAGAAGTTCCAATCAGCATAAGACCAGGGCTGAGTGTAGAAAAGACCATCAATCACTCGTATGAAAGAAAGTTCAAGCTAAAGCCAGAAGTTGTTAAGATGAAAGAAGTCCACAAAAGAAAAATGTGACCTTGAGAAGTGGGCATCAGGTTTGGAGGAATATGTAAATGACACAACCTTACTCATTAAAAATGAGGAGAGCTTGAATGGATAAAGTTGGAAGATGATAGCCTTCGATACAGATTATACCATAAGGAAAACAAAAATCCTCACAATTGCACCAATAAGCAACACCAAGATAAATGGAGAAAAGGTTTAAGTTGCCAGTGATTTCATTTTGTTTGAATCCACAATCAATGGCCCAGCCAAGCAGCTGTTAAGAAGTCAAAGGTTATATTGCATTGGATAAATCTGCTGTAAAGGACCTCTTCCATGTGCAAAGAGGTAATTTTGAAAACCAAAGTGTGCCTGACCCAAGCCATAGACTTTTTCAATCACCTCATGTGCGTGCAAAAGCTGACCAATAAATAAGAAAGACTGAGAAAGATTTGAAGCCTTTGAATTATAGTGTTGACGAATAACCCTCCTCAGTATTGCCAGAAGAACAAACAATTCTGGCCTGGAAGAAACGCTGCCAAAATGCTCCTTATAAGCAAGGCTAGTGAGACTTATCCCACATCCTTTGGGCATCTTACCAAAAGGGATCGGCTCCTGGCAGAGGACATCGTGCCTGGCAAAACAGAGGGTCCGTGAAAAATGAGGAAGACCTTTAAAGAGATGGAGTGACACTCTGGATGCAAAGCTGGTTTTAAACATAGCAAGGATTGGAAGAATGGTGCAGAATCTGACAGTGTTTTGCTCCCTTGTGTACAGGGTCTGTGAGACAGAGCCAATTGGACTGCATCTAACAACAGCCTCAGGTCGACTCTAAGGTGTCACATAGGCTAGTAGACTCCCTGCAGGGTCACCACAGCACAAGCACGTCTCTAATGTCACACACACACCAACTCCAGCTCCCTGTCCCTCCGCGCTGGTGCGCACACCTGGGCGTTAAGGAGATGACCAGCCCTGTGTTGTGGACCGATTTCACAGTCTCCTTGGTCAGCTCTTGGGAAATGGAGATGGGAATCGGGGCTATCCGTCTGCTGAAAAGACTTCTACCCCATCAGGGTCTGCAGGCCCAGGTTCAAGTCCTAGTTCTCCAGTGTACACTCAGTGTGACACCCCCACCCCCAGTCCCTGCCTTTCTGGGGCCCTAATGTCCTGCACGTAAAGGGTGCCGGCTGGCCTGAGACAACCCCAGGATCCTCCCAGATGCGAGGCCCCGCGGCTTTGGTGGGGGTCCGGTCACATGCTCGAGAAGGGGTGGCTGGCTGACGTGCGGGTGCGGGCGCACAGCCCGAGCGGCCGGCCTTCTCTGACGTCCTTGCTCCCGCCCGCCCTGCCTGCCCTCCGGCAGCGGGAGCGCACGGCTCGGCTCGCTCGCGGGATCCCGGGCGCTGCGGGCGGCGGAGGAGCAGGGGAGCGCGCCGAGCAGCCTGCGCCCGAGCCGGCACCATGGTGCTGTCGGTGCCGGTGATCGCGCTGGGCGCCACGCTGGGCACGGCCACCAGCATCCTCGCGCTCTGCGGGGTCACCTGCTTGTGCCGCCACATGCACCCCAAGAAGGGGCTGCTGCCGCGCGACCGAGACCCCGACCCCGAGAAGGCAAAGCCTGGCGTCCTCCGACCTGCCCAACAGGTGAGCGGGGGCGGCGCCTAGGCTGTGGGGTCTCCGGGCTGCGGTGAAGAGGGGTAACCATTCTCACACACGGCGGGGCATCGCGGGGAGGGGACGGCGGACGTGCCCACGTGCCCGAGGACCGGTCAGGCAGGGGACAGGGAACCGGGGAGAGAGGTGGTCATGGGCATGATGGGGGAGGGGAGCCTTGGAGTGGGGAGTCAGGACCATCCCACTGGCCAAAAAGAAGGGGTGAAGGGGTCGGGATGGACGCCGTAAGCTGGGGGAAGTAGAAAGGAATGGGGTCTGGGAGTGTGGGGGCAGGGAGGAGGAGTGTGGGGACTGGGAGGGGGTATAGGAGGGGTTGAATAAGGGGAGAAGGAGGCTGGGAGGGGAACAGAGGCCTTAGGGAAGTGTTGGAGGGGCCTGGGGAGACTGGGAAAGGAATTACAAGACCTAAGAGCATGCAGAATTGGGGGTGATGATTGGGGAGGTGAGAGTGCAGAGCAGAAGTGGGGGTGTGGGGCTGTTGTCGGAAAACATTACCTTGGCTGAGAAAAGAACACCCCACCAGGAACCTGAGGGGAGGGGGCTGTCGTTGTGGGAGGTGGGGAGAAACTCGGACAGGGGGTGCCTGGAATCTGGAGAGGGAACCGAATCCAGGAGCCTGAGGGTCCTTCCTCCACCCACCCCCAGCAGCTCCATGTGTTAATAGCCAGCCAGAGGGGCTGCTTTGCCCCCATCCCCCATATATCCCTGAAGATGTCTTTGGCTTTTATGTCACGCATCTGCTTCTCCCCAGAGCCCCCTTGCATAGAAAATGGGAGTGTTCCCCATTGTACACAGCTGAAGAGATGGAGTGACAGGTTTGAGAGGACTCCCCCTCTGAGGCGCTGAACTCCAGGATGCTTTCCGGAACTAGGGGGTGCAGGAGCCTTCACTGGGAGTGAAGTCTTGCTAAATTTGAGGCCGGGGGATGGCTCTGGTGACTCCTTCAGACCTCTGGATTGCTAATCCCTCTTGTCAGTGTCAGAGCCACACTAAAATGCTGTGCGATTCCAGCTTCCCTTTCTCAATCAATTATTCAGAGGCTGGGAGGACCCAGTGTGGAGGCCTGTGTCAGTCAATGTATAGTGAGAACAGATAGCAAATGGCTTTTGTCCTTGAGACATTTACAATCCAAGATAAGTGACATTGATACTGGCAGAAATGGGAGCCAGCTGGGCAGAGGGATATACTTGGAATGATCTGGAAATGGGGGTGGTGGGCACCCCACAGACAGAAGCTGTGGATAAGAGTAATGACCCCTTCTCCCCTCCCCCCACCTCACTCTGAAGAGAGTCACCCTCTACCTTTCATAGTGGGGGTTCTCCAAGTGCCTCCCCACTCCCTTTCCCAGAGAGATCCTCTGGGGAAGACATTGGTGTAAATGACCTAAGATCCATCACTTTCTTTGTCTTGCTATCACTTACCCACACAATGGCCAGGGTCTGCTGAAGTCACACTGGATCATGCCTCTTTGCTGTTTAGAATCTAGTATAACTTCTTATTAAGCTCGGAATAAGTAATCACAAAGTATTCAGACTCCACCCAATTTCACTTCCATTCACTTGATTCTAATTCATAGTGACTTTCTATCTAAGGCTGCAAATCTGTAAATCTTAACAGGAGATTACTCATTTTTCTCCCTCAGATTTCCTGTTGTATTCAAACCACTGGAGATGCCTAGTCTTGGTGTTAGAAACACCCAGCTTGCTACCCACTATGCCACAGAGCTTTCTAACTATGAGCTCTGTGCTTTAAACTTAATACATTTCCTCCCTGTAACCACTCAATAAGGAAAGGTGACCTAGTAGGTAAAGGAATTAGACCTCGGATCCGAAGGCAGGTGATTCAAATTAATCAGCGGCTCCGACAGGGAAAGACGGGCAATCTCCTCCCATGCAATTTACAACATCTGAAGATCCTTTGAGGGGTCAGCTATGCATTGATTCTGCCTTGAGAACAATGAGTTTGAGTTCTGATGACTATCTCAATTTAAAGATGAAAGAACGAAAACTCGTGACTTGATCAACACCACACAGCTAGAAAAGTTAGAGTCAGAGTCTAGCCAGCCTGGCCTGATGCCAGACTTAAAAAAACGCACAACCTTTGAGGTTAGTCAGAACTGACCCAGCTGACCCTCTGTTGAGTTTCAGAGGCTGCATGGAAGGAGATTGTCTTTTTCTTCCTCGGAGTGTTTGGTGGATTCGAACGACTGCCTTAGCGGTAACAGTGCAGCTCCCTGTGAGCGAGGCTGATTCCAGAAGCCTTGCTATGAGCTGCTCCACTGCGCTCACTCCTGCACCCGCTCGACCTGGCAAGTGCCAGGTTCCTGTCAATCCCCCCTTCATCACCAGCCTCAGCCGCCTGCATTTGGGAAGTTGTTTGAAAGATACCAGGCTCTTTCTTGCCTCTCCACCTCCAGCCCCATCCCCCACAAAGTGTTTACATGTGAAGCTCTTTCTCATCTTTTAATTCACTGTTTAAATGCCACCTTTTCAGGGGAGATTTTGCCACATGTAATAAAGAGCCACGGTGGGACAATGGTTAAGCTTCACCTAATAACTGAAAGGTCACTGGTTTGATCCCACCAGCAGCACAATGCAGGAGCAAATACCTAGAAATCTACTTCCCAACATATTTCAGGCCAGCAACACTATGGGGAAGTTCTCCTCCACGCTGAGGGGTCACCACCAGTCAGAATAGATGGCACTTAATGACAGTGGAGGTGGTGGTGGTGGTGGTGGTGGTGGTGTGTACCATTAAGCCAGAACCGACTCATAGCTGACCCTTGAGCAGATACTCAGAGGCTGTAAATCACAGGGGAAGAGAGTGCCCCCTTTCTCTCTCAGAGCAGCTGGCAGATTCAAAGCATGTGCCTCTGATTAGCAGCACAACTTCTTCCGGCTCAGTCCCCAGAGCTCCCTAACCACAGTCGTACACACACGTATTACCCTCTCCTGCATCGTTCGAGTTCTTTTATAATCCTTGTCACATTTGGTCCTTATTTGCTGGCTTATATTCTGTAGATGGCCCATGAAACAGAGAAAGACCCTCAATGAGATGCATTGACACAATGGCTGTAACACTCGTCTCAAACAGGGGAGAGCTTGTGAACCTGATCTGTTGTCCAGAGGGTCGCTGTGAGTCATGCTTGACTTAATTGTGGCATTCAATAACAACAATATATGACAGTAGAATATAAGGCTCCCGACAGCAGGGGCTACTTAGACCTGGGTCTTAGTTTAGCCCCAGCACCTTCTAGAACTTGATAGGTGCCCAGTTAGAAACCGTTGGCAAAGAAAAGGCATCCTGGCTTTCACCCAGCCAAGGCGCTTGTCTGTTTCTTCAGAAACAGCCGTGTGCCCCATCTCTGCAGCTCGGCGCTAGTTTAGTAGAGGTTGCTCCGCCATACCAGCCCCTCACCTGATTCCAGCCCAGGGCTGCATCTGTGAATACTGAAGCAGAAAGCTCACTGTGTTGGCTCGACTGCATTGTGTTCAGACAGATTCAGCCACTGACCCAGATAGAGTAAAGAGAACAGACAATGCAATTGGCATGATAAAAAGGAGAGGTGGCATTAGGGGCGGCAGCGCTGTGTATGTAGCATGTGTTGACAAAGGAAGAGCCAGGGCCAGGTCTCTCAAATGTCCTTGAAGACAGAGGATCTAGAGGCTGAGGAAGGCAGGCAGGCAAGGGCTTCAGTTCCTTCAACCCAGCATAAGACAGCCCACTGAGAACTGGGATGTCTATCAGATATGGACCTACTACTGTTTCCCATCTACCGATGTCTTGTGTTGCTGGAAAATTTCCTTGAGCCTCTTGATTCCTGGCCCTGAGTAGTTGGATGGGATTGAAGTTGATGGTGATTTTGAAAAGAGTTTTCAAGTTCTTTCCTAGGTTTCTTAACCTGGCATCTGCAGACACCTTTTCCCTCAAGGAATCTAAATAGAAGTTAAAGGAGCTCATGATTTAGGGAGGGAAGAAAACAACTAGAACAACAAAACTCTTACATCTTTGCTCTTCCTAACCTGACATATAGCATCTCCTACAACTGGGAACTCTGGTGGCCTAGTGGGTAGGGAGTTGTTCTGCCAACCCAAAGGTAAGCGGTTCAAATACACCAGGTGCTCCTCCAGAAAAGATGGGCAATCTCCTCCCATGTGATTTACAGCCTCTGAAAACCTGCTGGAGGGTCAGCTAGGAGTCAGTTCAGACTCAGTGGCAATGAATTGAGAGGAGTAAAAAATAAGCAACAAATCAAAGTGGTTTTGACCCTCCTTGTGGGATTGTGTCCCAGGGGAACCACAAGTATTTTCAGGACAGTCACCATGGCTGTAGATTCTTCACAATATCGCATACACTCATCTCTAGTTCTAAACCACGGTGCTTATTAAATCTCCTGTTAGATCCTCTTGTTGAAGGAATTAATAAATTGGTTTTATTAGATCTTCCTTTGCAAATAGGTGTCTTTTATGTGGTTTAAAAAGACACTGAGAAGGTGACCAGGAGCTTCCCATCCAGCTGGGGGAATCATGGCACGCAAAATGAGCAAAAGCCCCTCCAAGTGTGAGGATGGGCAGAGGGGAAGGGTGGGCGCGCTCAGTCATCTGTCACCCTCCATGCCCCCAGCTGCCTTCGGTTCAGACTTCGTTGCTCCTCCTGCATACATGCTCGTGATCCTTTATCCTGCCATTTCAGACAGTGCTTCTCAGGACTTCAGGGCCTTCAGACTTGTCATCCCCTCAGTCCCTGGGCCCAGCAGGACCACCTGGGAGCTTTCCAAGGTGGATTACTCCACAGTGGCCTGGCCTGGCCTGGCCGGCCACCTGAGCAGGCACAGTGTGAGAGCGATTATCCTCCCTTCACTGCTCCTTCTGAACACGTTAGCCGTCCGCCCGCCCACCCGCTCCCGCTCCCGCTCCCTCTCCCTGAATTTCCTTTTCACGCTTGTCTGCATCCACGGCTGCTCCCTGCGT